AGTACAGCCGTGGGGCGAATGCGAACAAAAAACATTGCAAACGGTGACGATCCCATCAGAGAGAGGTGCCATTCTGCGTATAAAGGACCTGCAATTATAGGCTCGTCGACAGGTGTCTGTCTCTACTATGGGTGAACAACGATCCGCCCAATTTCCTTAAACACTAGTGCTTCCCCATAATTATATTGAACTCGTCGACAAGGCCCGGAGTCAAAACACATAACCCCAACCATGTTTCTAGGTACGCTGAAAAAATTTACGTGGTCTTCTAGTTCATTGCAAATACGTGCAACTCGCTCGCCACAGTTTGTGCTCTAGTAGATTCTTCAGTACCTAAAGTTAGGATGCGGGGTGTCTTCTCTCATACCTCTGGCCGCTGCTGTCTCGGGTCTCCATGAGAGCCATGTTCTGACGCCAGAGCCTCTACTGGCCACGGAGCTCCATTCTCTCCTTTGATAGCTTGAGAATGTAGGGTATATAGATAAGAAGAAAGGAGAGAGATAGGGCGTATGGCCCTAGAAGAAGTATCATGCACTATAAAACAGCTGCTTATCTATATTTAGAATAAGAGAGAGCATGAATCATAAGACTTATTCATGCCTATAACCAACCGCTAGCTTGTCTCATTACAAATATCCCAGTCTATTTGCTGTAAGCTAGTAAATAGACATTAGTACTAACTAAACTTCAATGTAGTAGAGATAGTCCCTACGTATTATACCCAGATTGAACCATAAGAGGTGATAACAGAGTGCCAAGAGTCAGAAAAGAAGGCAGAAAGAGGCAAGACAGGGGTTAGTGTTGTGTTACCAAATTCTTTCCACGTTATAGAAGTGTAAAGTTATGAAATGACTTCCTCACGTCATACAGACTCCTTTCTCTTCCATCCAACATCCACTGAACAACTACAAACAGATATTAAAAATACTAAACCTCTGAAAGGAATAGAATACAGACACTTATGTTTTTTTCCCCAATATCTTTCTTATCTCCTGCCAATCCTCACTATAATTATATGTTGCCTGTGCACAGGCACACCCTAAAATAAATGACAACTTGAGAAAAACAAAGTGTTGCCCATCCCATCTTTATCATCCCACCCCATCAAACCCACATGAGATTTTTGTCCTACCAGCAGGTGCATGTGCTATGATCCTAAGGGATAGCTTACTGTCGGTTGGAATTTTGATGTGGTTTTTAGGTCGTTCCACATGGAATGAAAGTCAGACTGCAAGCAGAAGTCACTCCCAGTGGAACTAGAGATTCTGTTCCGTCTTTGAATAGAGACAACCTAATTGGAGGGAGGAGGTAGTAGGGAAGGGAGAGGGCCAAAAAAGCTACTCATTTTTACATGTGGGGGTGGTATATAATTACACAAGCACCTACAGCAATAACCCATTAGCTGAAATGATACCAAGGAATTAGACAAATTAACAACAAACATTGCCAATATAAATCGAGTACAGTACCTGGGAATTAATCATTTTGTATGCTATGAAAACTGACAGGAAGCAGAGAATGTTCCTTAAGCGTGCATTCCAATGTCTACCATCTGACTATACAGAACACTTGTTGCGAGCAACTTAATTGCTTATGCATATTTTGTTGCAGGTAACGTGTAGCTATAGGACGAGGAGACAACCGGCGGTGCCAGACAGATCGACTTGATGGGGGCGTAGCGGCTGGGTGGATCCCGCACCGGACAAGGGGGTGTGAGAAGGGTAGACGAGGGACAGCGGAGGTGGATAGGGGAGCTGAGGAATGGGGGGGGGTGAGGTAACTAGAACATTTCCTTTTCCAGGAAGTATACAGGCTCTATATTGTATTACCAGGAGAGAAGATAACATGGTTGAAAAGAGTATATACATCGGTGCATATTTCCTAAGTTTATATGCACTATATCTATTGATGTAGGGCTATGTGGAGTGCGAGGGACCTAACAATAGACTATACGAATTCAATGGAAATTTATCCATTGCTGCCAAGAGGTATATTATAGTAATGTGCGATAGAGAGAAATGTATTGTGGTGCTGTAACCTCTTCCCAAAGTGCACCCCTACAACCTAAAGAGCCTAATACAGTGCTGCAATTTCTTTCTTCTCCTCCCATCCAACCCCCTTCCCCTGTCTCCCTTCCTTCCACTCCCACCCTCCGCCTTCTCTTTTGCTTCTCCCTTTTTCCATCTTTCCCCCTCCCCTTTCTCCTCTTCCCTCCCTCCCTCACGCCCTCCCTCCCTCCCTCCCTTCCGAGTAATATCCAACAATGCCACAACTAATCCCAAGATTCCCTAGACGCCCCATTATTCCTCCCTCCCTCCCTCACTCCCTCACTCCCTCCATTTCTTCTCTCTCAGACCAGTCCCCATTCAACCGGACAACGTCCTCCTGAGAGGTTCACTGTTGCGCAACACCCAGTGGGTCCACGGACTCGTCATTTACACTGGGCCTGATTCCAAACTGCAGCAGAATGGGACCGAGACACGTCTGAAGAGATCAGCCATGGACAACGCCACCAACAGACAAGTATGCATCCCCTGTAAAAATGCGCGCGCATTTTTTAGAATCGCATATTTGTACACATGTGCTAGTCCCATGTTATTATCATACCTTTGAAATCTTGAATTTTCACTTTCATGCACTACATGTACACATACGTGTTGTTTTTAGTAAACACCGCGTTTGTCTTGAACATACGTACATCCATAGCCCAGAAGAATCATCGTGTGTGTGTGTGTGTGCAGGTGATCTTCATGTTCCTGGTGTTGTTAGTACTGGCGGTGGTGAGTTCGCTGGGGTACTCCATATGGACCTCTCTGTGGGCCGACAAGATGTGGTACCTCTATATGGGCAATGGTACGTGCGACTATTGACAGCAAGATTTCTTGACTTACACCCTCGGCCATTGTGTGTGCCCTGAGCACTTTTAGTTAGCACAACAGTAATTGGCACGCAAAGTGAGCCTTACCTATTTGTTTAAATTATGTGATTTTTCATGCGACTGGCAGCACATGTACCATGTATGTTTTACGTACATGTAGTTAAATGCGTACATGTAGTACATACAGTGTAGCTGAATGTGTATCGTGTGTGTGCCCAGGCCCATGTTTGAAAATCTACAACATGTATGTAGAATATCTTGTCCCCCTCCCTCTCCCCTCTCTTGCTGTCTCCCAGAGAGTGCCGGTAAGATGGCAGCTAATTTCTTCTACTCCATCCTCACATTCATCATCCTCTACAACAACCTCATTCCCATCAGTCTCATCATCACCGTCGAGGTCAGTTCCACACTATAAAACCCTTTGTCAACTAGCAAACTATAAAACCTCTGTCAACTAGCAAATTTTCCCCGAAAGAGTATTTGTGATGATGCAGTAAAATCTGCCAAGTAGCACCTAAGGAGGCCATTTTTACACCAGATAACTTAAGACTTTCACGAATTGCTCAATAGCTAAATCTTTCTTTAAAAGGTATACTTTTGTGATTACACTGCGCTGTAGTTTACCTTGCCTTTGGTTTGAGACCTTGTTGTTGGCACATCTTTTCAGGTGGTGAAGTTGATACAAGCCTATCTCATCAACTTTGTAAGTTCTACACGACGCATACACTTATCGTGAACATACACCTCTGAGCAAGATGACTATGTAATGAATGTGTACGTACAGGACCTGGATATGTACGATGAGTCTACAGACACACCAGCACTGGCCAGAAACTCCAACCTCAATGAGGAACTGGGACAGGTACATACATTATTGACTGAGCACAATTACGTGGTTCATTGTGAACTAACTGCGGGTCTATCAAAAGCATCATGGATGTGCACCAAACATAGCTGTGTCAAAAACTTCGTGCTTTTTATGCTGGGCTGGACATTAGTTTTACTCACACCATCTTGAAATTCAGGATGCTGAGTTTACATTTGCAGACAGTGTTGTTTGTAATCTGTGCATGAATGTTTAACATACATTGTAAGTGTGTATTGGATACATATGTGGAATGTCTTTTCGTTTCAGGTAAAGTTTGTGTTCTCAGACAAGACTGGGACATTGACTGAGAATATTATGGAGTTCAAGCAATGCAGTATCTCCGGAATAGTGTATAGGTATAATTATACACACACAATGTGAACTATAAGTAGGATTAAGCACACTAAACTTTTCAAGGCACAATTGGACCATCAGCGCATCTTAACACGCAGTAGCAGATCTTATCAATTGCCCTTTGAAAATTCGGCACTTGGTATATATAGCGTCGTCCTAAACATTTGAAAATTCGGCACTGGGTTGTACATACATACACTATATAGCGTCGTCCTAAACCTATACAGTACATGGTTTAGCATATTAGAGTGGAGAAATGTTGTTGTTTCTCATATTCAGCACTGATTCCTCTGAAGAAGCTGACGATTCTTCTCCTCTGGTTCTTATGGAGGCACTGAAGGTTAGACACATGACTGTGCGTACACGTGAGAATGTACTGTGCCATAGCGAAGTTGTTTGAGACTTGCCTTAGTCTTGTGTTGTGTAGATTTGAACCCCTAGCAGCTGAGTTGCCACGGTAGGTGGTAGAGCACTCTGGGTTCCAATCCAACCCAGGCAGCCTATTTCTCAACCTTGTGTTGTTTGTCTTTGATTTGCCTTGACCACGATCGTTGATGGCACATGTATACACACCTACTTCTAACCTGATTTCCTGGTCCTAATGCAGGAGTCAGGGAGGACGGCCATGCTCCACTTCTTCAGAGTTCTGGCCCTGTGCCATACCGTCATTCCAGAATGGGTCGAGGGCTCTCAGTCTCTGGTGTACAGAGCTTCCTCACCAGGTTGGACATTGCAACACGCTTTTCCAGTGGAACTCCTCTCTTTAGGACACTCCTGAAATATAGGGACACCTCTCTAATATGGGGACTATGTTTTGTCCCATTGGCGTTCGAACTAGAGGAGTTCTACTGTATACTTGCAAAAGTACTGTACAGCACAAAAAAGAGGTTAAATATATAGGGTTTACTTTCCTGTGCTCTGCATAGTATGCAGACACTTTCCTAATGGCCCTGAAACTGTGAAGTCATAAGTTACTCAAGTTTTCCTCCACACGCACTTTTAAACCTCACGTACGATTTGCCCATGCAAGTGTGCCGTGAGTGCAGTATGATGTGTAGTGTACATGTATTGAATCTCAGATGAAGAAGCATTGGTAAAGGCAGCTAGAGACCTGGGTGTGGTGTTCAAGGCTCGCACACCCAAATCCATCATCATTGAAGTGGTCAGTATCTCTCTCCTGCCTCCCCCCTCTCACTTACTCTTTTTGTCTCTCTGGCCGTCCGTCATTCATCTGTGTTTATAACAAATAGTCTGTTCTCTGTTCTCACACACAGGATGGAGTTGAAGAGGAATATGAGCTGCTCAATCTACTGGAGTTCAATAGGTACGTATGTTCACGATGTACTACGTCTACTAGGGTGTTGCTGTTATAACTCCACCCTCCCCCTCTCCCCCATACATACATATATGTACACTCGATCAGCACCAGGAAGAGGATGTCAGTGGTGGTGAGGTTCCCAGATGGCTCCATCAGAGTACTGTGTAAAGGAGCCGTAAGTCTTCCCGTACATGTAGAACCAGACATCATTTTCACAGTTCATTCCACAACATTTTCAATGTGTGTTCTGATAGATAGGAAAATGAAAGAGAAACCTCTCCTCAGTCTGAATATATTACACATAGAAAACAGAAGGTAGAAATATCTTATAATTTGAGTATCAGGCATTTACCCTATAACAAAAAATTATGCGAATTTCATTAAGTCACATAATTATTTTTGCTTTAGCACACCATGCAGGCTGGCCAACCATGAGTACGAAACTTTTTTTACGAAAACTTCTATTTTATTGCGAAACTCTTTAGTCATGTATATAATATCTATACACGTACGTATATAGACATACATGTACAACATGGCAACTTCCTTTGCCTAGGGGACTCCTCAAGTATTACAGGTAACGTTCCTCGTACCATTGCAGGATACAGTGATCTACTCTCGTCTGGCTCCCTCTGAGGACTACTCTTCTTCCACAAACAGTCATCTCAAGACTTTTGCCGTCAATGGCCTCAGGACACTCTGTGTGGCCGAGAGGACCATCGGACTAGTCGACTATGAGGTGCAGTTTAATCTGTCTGTCTGTCAGTCTGTGTGTGTGCGCGCACGTGTGCATGTGTCTGTCTGTCTCTACCCCCTCCTTTATTATCAAACTTGCACGTCTCCAATGGGGTAAATGGTGGTGTCATCACTTACACGCTGCATCCACCGTACTCTGTCTGTCTACTGCCCCAGAGGACCCATCAAAACCACATGTACCACGTGTGCATGCAACTTCAGCAGTCAATTCAACACGTACTCTGCATGCAAAGGTGGTTGTTATATGTAAATGTAGAACGTAATCTCCATGTCAAATGGATTTAACACACAGACAGTGGGGTTATCTTCCATGACCCAGACATTCAGGGGGAGGGTTGGGAGATATGTGTACTCCTGGTATTTCTGTCATGGAAATCTCCATATAAGTCTATGTGGTCAGAGATCTAGGACCATGAATATTGGT